TTTTGTGATTTTGCTTGATTTGATTTTTCTGACTTTTGTGTCAAGGACCCAAGGACTTTGTTGACCATCAGGGATGATTTTGAAGAATTAGAAGGGATTAATGCAGCGTGTCCACAGCTGCAGGGTTTCCTGAGTGGATAGGATACCTGTCTAGTGTTCACGACTACTTAAAATCCACTTTCCCACAGAGCCCATGTGCCTGAGGCATCACCACACGATGCACCTTACCTTGGTTCTTCGTTTTCAATATTAACTATTAACACAGATCTGGTTACGCTGGAAATGTCTCAAAAGGAAACGTCTACATTAAGAAATTAACACCTGCACTGACAGCAAAAAAATATTACCATTCCTATCTATACTTTGTTTTTTTGTGTGGTTTGAATTATCAATTAATTAACAGTAGTTTTCAATGAATAGAAGCTATTTATCCTGACAAATATAGCTAGAGTTATATGTGCTACACATGTTTTCTTTCATTTCTTTGGAGCCATATTGTGCTGTACCTGAAAATCCTGCTCCAATCACGATGTTGCTGTATGCAGGGTGGTAGTCCAGCACAAAATGATGGTCAGGCGTTAGCTGCAAAAACAATAAAATATGAAGAGTTAGTAAATTTAAAAAAAAACAACAACAAAAAACCCAACAAAACAAGAAAAAAATAATCAGAAAGTGCAGGTTGTTGTTTTAAGACAGTGCAGCTGTACCACTTTAGAACTTAAATCCCTTAGGCCCCCTGCCTGCTTGGGTGGAAGAATGGTGTGCATGGTACTTCTATATAAGCCTTTATACTGCACACAGAAAATGACAACGATCAGACTCTCCTGTGAGCACTGGAACTGAACCCTAGAGTTTTCACCAAGTGTATCAAAGCAGCCCTGAATTCCTTGTGGGCAGCGGGACTCAGAGTGTTAACATACTTGGATAAATTTCTAATATGTATTTCTAACAGAGGGGATCCACTACATTTTTCTATCCTCTTCTTCCATTAACATCCAACTTATTAATGTTAATTTGTTAATTCAACATAACATCATAAGTTATGTTACAATAGGAGTAGGCTGCCGGGGGATTCCCATGATGCATTTAGTATTTC